ACATCATAAAAACAGCCTCAGTGTCAAGGATGTCGGAAGCACGAAGTAAACCGCACGGTAAAAAACAATTTTTTGCAGGCTAAAACTTAAAAACTAATTGATTCAAATTACTGCTTGAAAATTTTCAATTCTTTGTATCAATGCATAGTTAGAATAACTCTAATGTGAAGAAAATTAAACATTAAGCTTGAGTGGAGTGCACTACCTGATCAGCCGATGTTAGCATCCACTAATATAATATTTCCCGTTTTTATGACCGCTCAGCAGTCACTTTGAGTTACCATGTGAGATGTATTTAAGTCTACGTGACCGTAACCATAGTTCCAGCGGCAGTTACATTGCTACCGGGGCAAGACCTAACTTATTTTGTATCAATTTCGAAGTAAGCGCCGTATCATATACGTGCTCACTCGACCGAGGAATTCGAGACCGACTGTGCACTCAAGCGCGTACCCAGCGGGCATTCGGTGGTTGAATGAACGTTGAATCAACTACGCATTATGACATTGAGATCGGGGTGAGAGGAGGTTTAGAATGAAAATTGAAGCAACATCTTTCATGCAACGTCGTACTGACGTTACAATGCAACGTTGAATCGATGTTGCTACTACGACGTTGCTGCAACGTTGAATTCTATGGTTGAATCGACGTTGAAACAACTACGCATTACGACATTGAGATCGGTGTGAAAATAGGTTTAGCATGAAAATTGAAGCAACGTCTCTCATGAAACGTCGTACTGACGTTACAATGCAACGTTGAATCAATGTTACTACTACGACATTGCTGCAACGTCAAATTCTCTGATTGAATCAACGTTGAAGAACCAACCTGTGTTTCGTCCGTGGCAGGATTCGAACACGGGATCGCTGGAGACCGCGCGACACCTTAGCAACCTTGACCACGGCAGCTCGCGTGCATGAGCAATAGAAATAAGCTAAAGAATTGTTCGACTCCTTGAAAATTGAACTGCATTCTCTGGTAATTAATCGTACACTTATATATATATGTATGTCATTCAATGTTGGTGTGATAACATTAGTTCCATGCTGGTAAATAGCTAAACATTCAACGTACCGATATCGACCATTTTTCAACGTTGAAATAAGGTTGTTTTCCGTCCTTTCTAGTTTTAGTCAGATTTCGACGTTGATCGGACGTTTAATTTTGGTCGTTCAGCATTTCAACCTAAAATCAACATTGATTGAACGTTTAAAAATAAACAAACATTCAACGTACCAATATCGACATTGTTTCAACGTTGAAATAAGGTTGTTTTACGTCTGTTCTAGTTTTGGTCAGATTTCGACATTGATCGGACGTTTAATTTTGGTTATTCAGCACTTCAACCTGATATCAACTTTGATTCAACGTTTAAAAATAAATAAACATTCAACGGACCAATATCGACGTTGTTTCAACGTTGAAATAAGGTTATTTTACATCCGTTCCAGTTTTGATCAGATTTCGACGTTGATCGGACGTTTAATTTTGGTTGTTCAGCATTTCAACCTGAAATCAACATTGATTCAACGTTTAAAAATTAGTAAGAATTCAACGTATCAATATCGACATTGTTTCAATGTTGAAATAAGGTTGTATTACGTCCGTTCTAGTTTGGTCAGATTTCGACGTTGATCCGACGTTTAATTTTGGTTGTTCAGCATTTCAACCTGAAATAAACATTGATTCAACATTTAAAAATTAGTAAAAATTCAACATACCAATATCGACGTTATTTCAACGTTGAAATTTAATAAGGTTGTTTTACGTCCCTTCTAGTGTTGGTCAGATTTCGACGTTGTTATGACGTTTAATTTTGGTTGTTCAGCACTTCAACCTGAAATCAACATTGATTCAACGTTTAAAAATTAGTAAACATTCAACGTACCAATATCGACGTTATTTCCACGTTGAAATAAGATTGTTTTACATCCGTTCTAGTTTTGATCAGATTACGACGTTGATTGGACGTATAATTTGGGTTGTTCAGCATCTCAACCTGATATCAACATTGATTCAACGTTTAAAAATTAGTATAAATTCAACGTACCAATATCGACGTTATTTCAACGTTGGAATAAGGTTGTTTTACGTCCCTTCTAGTGTTGGTCAGATTTCGACGTTGATATGACGTTTAATTTTGGTTGTTCAACATTTCAACCTGAAATAAACCAATAATCAACGTTGTTTCAACGTCAGATGCCTGCTGGGTAGAGCTCAGGCTGAAGGAAAACCGGCTACGGTGCTCGCAACACTTCAAAGTTTAATTAAGGATTCATGAAGACACTCCCGCTAGCCGCTTCCAGTTCCCAACCCAAATCCTGTTATGGCCACATTCGATTGATTCAAAATATAGTTCAGATTCAGAAACCGGTCCCGAAATTTAATCATAAAACTAAGCACAATTGAGGGTTGAGCTAAAATGAATGAACGATGAATCCTAAATTACCTACAAAATCCAGTTGTCATTAGCAGCAATCTCCAAAATCTAAGCCTAATCAAACTCTAAGCTCGAGAATCCGATTACCACAAAGAAACTCCTTCCATGATCCAGTGACCGCGACTAAGGCGTATGTTGAGCCGCAAATGAGCCATTCCAAGCCCAACAAAGAGAGGTTCTGCAAGAGGCAGAGGACAGCCTGGCGAGGGTCAAAGCTGGAAACAATTACCTTCAAAGATGTCGGGCAAGAGAGGGGAGGAGGGAGGAGCAAGGAATTGCACGGAAGTAGAGAGGACAATCTCGACCACGACGAGTTCAAAACCTGCTAGATAAAGAACGCAAAAATAGGTATGCTAAGAAGTGTTGCTTCAAATACAATCGGAAACTACAGAAGGCTTATTGGAGGTGAAATATGACAACTGGGAGTATTAAATAAGTTGGGAATAAATAATTCAAATCAAAATATATCGTTAATTACCTAAAATAATAATGTAAATAAGGATACAACAACAAGAAATGCCAGCATAAATTTCAAATTTGCTATTTTCATAAAAATAGTGGTCGCATAAACGTTTTCGGCAACAAAAAAAAACGCGTCAGAAATGTGATTGATGAAATTTTTTCGTTTAAAATATCTCACGACTGTTCAATTATGGTCAAGCAAAATTGGCATGAGTTATTATTAATTCATGAAGCCTAATTTGTTATGTTTAACTTAGACATATTAAATCTCAACGGGGCAGATCTCGGTCTAAACAAATGCTGTCGAGAATAACCTTAGACTCAGTAGGCAAGGTAATCGTCATCACCTAATGAAGCAGCAAAAAATCATAGTGACTTGGGAAACGACACAGATTTATATTTCTCCCGGACTTGAAAAGAAAAAGAATGTTTAAATACATAAAATCAACTAACCAATCAATAGAAGAATACGCACCCATGTACCTTGCTACAAGTGATCGCTCCATGAGGTAGACAAATCAATGGATCAACTAAAACAAATTCAGGTGCTGGCAAGCGTTTACTTGAGGCCAACACTCGGAAGAGAGCAAAATAACCGCAGGTTTATTATCCCGGCAAGAATATCGCGACAAGGAACCACTCCTTGTGAGCATTAATGATGGGAGGCAGCGTGCACTTTCTCAATGGGCAGTGGCAGCTTTCGGGGTCAGCGGCGCCGTGCAACAGCAGGCCATGAGTGAACAGTTAGGTATTTGCGGCATTTCCATCCGCTGCGCTAACATAAGATATAAAACTAAAGATGATTACCAGTGAGATAAAACTTCGATGAAGCTCAGCACCGATAAATGCTCGTAAACTGTTCCATGAGGTCGGGGGCCTCATTCAACATATACATTCAGCCGAAGTATACGAACGTAGAAAATTTTTTTAAACATTATATAGCATCGTTTTCTGCAAACAAACTAAATCAATGCAAAATAATCACATTTAAGTAATTAATGAATTTTCGCCGGTAGCCTCACTGATTGTCAATACCTACTTAAATGTTTATAATACGATTTCAAATCATAACATATTCTTTGAATTCGTCTTTTGCCGAAACCGAATGGCTTACACCACAATATATAAGAATGCTGCAAGTCCGCGCAATTAGCAGCATGGTTCCCTGAAAAGGTACCGTTGACACGATCATGAATAAAGGTTAATACTAGGAGGGAGAGCTCTTCCTAGGGCTTATTAATGCAGGTTCAGCACGCCACATTTTACTGCGTATGCAAAGCAGAGGCAGTTGTATTCCAATGATACAGAGAAGAGGTAACCATGAACAGCTGGCCACAATTACTCATCAAATGCGCCGCCACCGACAGCAATAAATGCAGCAACGAAATGCTACACTCAAGTCAAGGCTGAGACAAAAAATAATAACAATGAGATTGAAAATAAATTTTGCACGTAATATGTATATTAAAAGCACGCCTAAATTGTATCAATTAATTCAGGACAGTTTTCAACAGCTCCTTCCCTACGCACGCACATTCACCCATACATATTATCATGATCAGTGTACCACGCCTAGGATCTTGCTCACCGGCATGAGCGGAAGCTGTAGGAGTATCAGCAGCACACGTGTTAGTCGGCGCGCCAACACATGGAGAAGAAGCGGAAGGAGGTGTCGCGTAGCTGCCTTCTATTTACCCAGCGCGTATCTCTACTCTGGTATTTATAGCAATTAGGCCTAGAGAGCCTGGCTATATGGATGCCGACTCTACTGCTGCCGTGTTTTCTATGCTATTTTTAAATATATTGTGACGCATAACTTGATCTTTTATGACAAGCTGACAACAATTTGAGTTTCTCTCTGATCAGCTAATATTAACTATACGTTGTGAATGAATTACATATTACTAATATAATGATACGAAAGAACTGAACGTAAATTAAAATTCCGATGGATTGGAGCAATAGCAATGCTTATTTCCAAAGAAATCAAGAACAACAAGTAAATGTACCATAAGTATCTGGTATCCAAGAGAATATTTTCGAAACAACATGAGAAGCAGACAGCTTCCAGTGTCATAAAAATGCCAGGGCTTACCTTCTTCTTTTTAGAATTCGTCTTCTTGATCTGGGCATGGTTGAATCTGGAACAAAAAAACCAAAGGAATTAAATTAGAGTAAGACAGTAATGCTTGCGAGACTCAGTAAGCAACAAATTAGACACCTAATAAATTGAATCAATTTCTAAATAATCAACAGCTTCAGTCTTTCTTTAATTGGAGCTCCATTGAGAGTTTTGTTAAAAATAACAATATCACTGTTTGATGAGTTATTGAGATGGAACCGAAAATCAGCGAGTTCAACAGAATAGTAGAATGTGTTGTTGGGTTGTGGTGTTGCATCAAGCTGCATGCAGCCGAGAACGTATAATACTAATAGGTATTAACCAAGGCTGCACAACAATAGTAAGGAAAAATGGTCTCATGACATCATCCTGGATCAAGAATATGTAAAGCGAATGAAATAAATAAATAAATATTTTTATTGCAAGACATTATAAATAAATGAACAATAATAGCACCTACAAATTCCATAAATAGTAAAGCACCCAGTACAGGCCATTACATAAATTGTATTTACTAGCCCATCAGAATTTAAAAGCAAATTTCCATCTGAAAATGACGAGACGCAGGAAATAACGTCTATATTGACGAGCGTAAAATTTAAATTCCATTCAAATCCATTCCAAAGCAATGATGAAATGTAAATTGTAGAATTCTTCCTTCATCTCATGAAAAGATTGAGTCCCTAGGAGTCGTACAACTTCAATAGACATAACAATCAGAAGTGTGGGTCTGAGAATAACCATTTACAGGTCATGAGGTGTAGGTCTTCGGTGATCATCAACAAATCCCTGCCTGAGTCAATCGACCACCAATACCAACATGGACGGGAACATCGACTGGGTGGTTTACGCGACCACTAAATATTCAGTTTACTTTGATTCCTTAGCTGGTTATCTTTCCTCATTTATAGAGTACAGTACGCGAGACATGGGCTAAAAGGCGTTGATTCAATCGCATTTGCTCACAGCCTGAGGTAATAATAGGCATGGCATCTTTAATGCCTTTCCAGTTTGCGGCCAGGCATATTTTCACAGGCATACGTATATCCCACAAAGTTTCGTTCATCATATAGGTTCTTATCCAATCCGGAGGCGAGTTAACCTGGTTATTCGAGTCAATTGAAGACCGACAGCAAAGACAGAGAGAAGAGGTAGGCGGGCTGTGATCGACATCAGGGTACACGAGTGATTATTCACCTATATCGTTATGCTAAGAAAGCTTCAACACGAATCAAGATGCGCTTAACAGAAGCGAAACGACGAAAGACACGAGAGCGTTGCATCAAGTCACCACCGTCCATAATGCTGTAAGTGAGCGTTCCTACACGCCCACCATACGGAACGAAACAATTTGACACAGAAGCGAGCCACACATGCGATGGCCGTCATTCCTCCTTGAGCCGCGGCCGCTCTTTTTACACTTGATTATAGCACCCAAGTTTGTGCATTCGAGTTCCCACACCCCACACTCTCTCGTCCCATATGCTTACTACACAATGATCACACATGAACAACTTTGAGAGTTTTCGCCACACAGAAACTGTTGCAAACAAACTCCCAGAAAGTTGGTCTTTACCTTACGTTCACGCAGATGACACAGTACGCGGTCATGGCAGAACAACGCATTGTGGACATCGTAATTAGCACTAAAATTATGCCAGATTCTCTTCTTGGAGACAAAATTGCAATTAATTTTAAGTGAACGTCAATGGAAAAAATTTAGCATATAAAATCCTACAAAACTCACCTTTTGGTCGCGGCAATAATACAAATACAACATTGGCTAAATTAATTAATTCATTTCAAATTTTCGGTTGAATTATTCGTGTGCAGCATTATGGAAGAAGCTACTAAAAATACAATAAATATGTGCGATAAAACATATCCACCAAAAGTAACAGTATCAAATCCCATTTTCTATTCAACGTTTGAATTAAATTAAGCACCAAATAGTGGGCAAGAGTTACAAAGTGAGACCAGCTGAGACGTTAAACGAGTCAAGATTTGTCAGTAGAAGAGTGAGATGTGCCAGTATGAGCAGCATAATGAAGCAGCGCTCCGAGCACTGAGACAATAAGGCGAGGTGCCTCTGAGCAGCCAGACTAATTCGGAGACGCGTGCGTCCTGCCCCTCGTCTAATCTAATCCTGCGTTGCGATCTATAACGACACCGTAACGTTAGCTTCTCATTGAAAAGCATGTATGCATGCACATTGCGCAAGGTATTAAACATATCAAAATGGCGATACCATTCGTAACACTTTGGCAGGATATGAGCACTCCAAGCGAAAAAAGGAAGAAATTAGCGAGAAGGTGGTGTGCGAAGCGGTGATGGCGGCACAATACATGGCGCGTCGCACAGCTGGCAGCCACGCCGCTTGCCAAAAACAAACCCGGAGCGTCAGGAGAGCAGCACAAAAAAAATCTACGATTTCAATTCAAATTTGGGACTTGAATAAATGATTATGACTAATATTACATTCATTATAGCTACTTTCGTTTGGTAGTTTTTCAGTGTCTTTTCAAATATATACACGGGAAAAACGCAGTAATGATTATGCGCTTAAGTTGTATCGTGAACGCGGCAGCTGTCCGTCAAAGACTAGGGAGGTCCGGGGGGCTCTTCGAGGGTCGAGAGCAACTCGGGATTGTGGGATGGTTTGGCGGATTTATGAAGGACGCGTGGACACACGACTAATGCCTACGATTGCAACTAATCTGAGCTAATCGAAGCACCTAACTCATGCCCAACAGAAAAGAAGTCCAAGAGAAACTACAAGAAAAACGAGACTGAAAGTATTGCTCCAAATAATAGCAGAATGATGGCTAGGATGACAATGAAATGAGTTAGACGATAATGCTAATGCAATGATGTAGAGACGGGCGTGAGGGGGTGATCGCCAGGACGGGTTTCAATGCTGGACATCTCAAGTCATTAACTCCTCAACACCGATACCTTCGGCGGCGTGCTCACCAAACTGCGACGTCGCACAGCTCTCTAACTCTGCCAACTCACTCATTTTAGTGCTCAGTAAATAATACGACTCTTACAGAGATCTTGTAAGACGATTCATCCATTGCCGCGTACGATAACGCTAAATGTTAAAACGCCACGTTCCGTCCGACAATTAACACACGTTCTCACTAAGTTGTCAATTCATTTATTGGAAAGACTATTGGATTGGACTGGTAAATTATTCATCATAGTTGCCAGCTAACCAATAAACGTAAAATTAAGCATAATAATATACGCTACATAGCATCAAATACAGGAAGGGTTGTACGAATATTTGCATTTTTAAACTTTTATTTTGTTGCTTTGAGGAATTTGTTCACAACTCGCAGTATTTAATTTAATTTGGCCATAACAGATTTTGTCGAAAAAGAAACTATTTCGCTGCCCGTTCATCGTTTAATAAAATCGATTGATTGCGGAAAAATTACGGGAGATCAAATTTACAACACTCACTCCAGTTACTATAATTTTTAAAATCTGATAGTTTTATATCTGCAAGCAGATAACACAATCCAGGTCATTTGAATATTCATTGTGATTTACAATCTTTCGGTTGTAATCATCACAAATTGAGTCAGTATCCAAACCTGTGATGTTGTGAACTTCAATTGAAAACGTAGCTGTCAGCTATGACCGTTGTGATTGTGAAATGACGTGAATGTATTCATCGCAAACTAATGCATGCGAGTGTTGAACGGCGCATAATTCTTCGACCACTCCTCGGAAGGATTATGTTTTGCTCAAGTATAGACGTTTGAGTACAGCCCATACACAACGAATTGCTGCCAAAGGAGTTAGCCGAACTGCATGCCAAGTGTGAAAGTTCTTTGAAAATTTGTACAGTGATAGCTTTCATAGGACGCGTGTGAGACGCCGACGATTGAAGCCATATGATATGAATGTCTCTGTGCCAAGACAATCTGACAATGAAAAAAAACAATCATGAGTCATAGCCCTGTACGATTGCAAGGAGCTACATAATTACGGCATTCTAAAAACTGTATTAAAATAGAGAAAATAAAATCAATGTACGCCAAGCTGATCTGCATTACAGTGACTAAAACAAAGTTTCCGGTTATTATTCTAAACTAACCCCAAAATGGCAATTGATTTACAGTCTCTTACTGGGAAATTGATCCGATGATACAAGTTCAAGAGGATGAACGATGCAGCATGCAACGGTGCTGCATTCGAGGTCCGCGCATGCATGAACTATTGTAATAGTGACGCACATTATACTTTAAATCTAGTGCAACCATGCTCACAATAATTGTATTATATACTAACAAAAATATCCATCAGTTCAGTCAGTGGAAACTCTATTAGTTTTATAACTGATTGATCTGTATCAGTTTTATAACTGTTTCAGTCAGTTACAATACTGACACACAACAGCTTCAAATATGCGTCAATAACAATACAAACTTTATTCAGAATTCCCATTTCAAATCCATCACAGCATTCACGTTAATTAAAATTGAATTCTCTGTATAGAAACGCGCTCAAGAAAGGACGGAAAACTGCCTTGAAGTAGTCTGGCGCAGGAGGGACCGCGTAGCAGAGGAAGTGGTGCACTCAGACAAGGGGATGGGTGACGTTGTCCAAACAGTGACACGCTTGCTGCGTGGACCAGTGACTGGCATTTTTAGGGTCAAACCGGGTCAATATGACACAAATAAGGGCAAAAACGCATCGCTATTTGGACAATGTTTCATTGATTATTCTGAGTGTATGTAGTGAGTCTGGCCTGGAAAGGGTCTCATAATCTCACCAGGGAGGCCATTACTTGCCGAGTTTTCCACGAACAAAATCTCATTAATTCTCTTTACGAATGCCACTCGGCCGTACCACAAGTCTACTTTAATTAAACAATTTTTACCTGCGCTACTTGAAATATTATTGATATAATTTTAGTTACTAAGATTATTGGATCTTAAATCATATAAGATAAATAGGACAATCATGTTGGGACAAATATGTCTACCGAGAATCATGTTTGTTATT